GGGGGGACATGTTCGACGCTATTTCGATGACCTGTTTTTTACATATCGCCTTAGACAGTACTGCTCAGACCATCGCACCGATCGTACAATAGTATTTACTACAATCATGTACAAGAAGCAAGTACTGCTCTCCACTGTGTACGGTCTAAACCGATCGTTTTCGAAACAAGTGATCACCGGTTTCTCTTTAAATCGTTCGGGAAGCTTATCACCTGTGATACGCATCCTTAATCAAGATTATTCTGGCGTGGAGTTTGAACCTACCGAATGGACCATCATCACCGATCACTTCCCAGTCATCGACAAATTCTTTACCGCCGAGGATAACATCAAGGAGGTACCCGAGGCTTTTAACACTCCCATTCTCATGCCCACTCATGAGCTCGCCTTCACGTACTCATACGGTGAGCGGGCAATTATCATCAAACCGGCAATGCCGGTGTCTACGGACAACGATGGCTTGGGTGTTAAAAGAGCTAGGACATACACACCTACGGTTGTCATGAAGAGGGTGTCCTACCTCAATCTCCAGAGGGTCCTGCGCTGCGTAACCTTTCAAATAACGAGGCTACGCGAGATTACCGACAGCGCTAACAACTGTAAGGACACACTGATTGCGGAACTCGACCGTCGCGGAGACGACACCTCCTCCAGGGACAACATATTGGACGACCTTCGGTTGGTTCTGGAGAAGAAAGGCCTGTGGTCACCGGCGCTTAATCAATTATTGTTGGAGCTGCTGTCCCTGTATAATCACGAGTACCTTTCCTTCGTGCGGAGCACCATGGAGGATCAGAACAGCCATGCATAGGGCCTTTTTTCGAAATAAAAAAAAAAACTGTACGCTTGACGTTTCTTGCAAAATGTGTAAGAATAATATATTTTTTATTTAAAAAAAAAACTGTTTTTTTTTTGTTTCCTACGCCTCCATCACCCCATATCTTCTAAATAATTTATAAAGCATTAAGCGTATTCCGCTGTACGTTGTTGTTATTCGACGCTACCGTACACCTGCAGGGATTTTCACTTTGCCGACGCTACAGCTTTATAATTTACATAATGTGTCTTGCAAAATACGGTGTTCTATTTTACCACGGGTACACTTATCTCCTTAGGATAATTAAAAAAAAAGTTACCGACCGGCGGTCAATGCATAATTACCGACCGTGATACGGCCCCTGGGGGCACACAACGCCGCTGCTACTGAGTTTCGGGCCTTAGGACCAGACCCGCGTGGTGGGGGATCCACCACAGTGTCGCCAGGGAAGAGCAGACCACATAGGCGAGGGGGTGACGCCATAGTGCAGCGCGGGGGGTCAGAGCGCTGCGCGCTCCATGACTCACAGGGGACAGTGGTGGGGGTCCACCACAGTGTCGCGGGGGGAGGGGAGAGCTGGTCACACAGGCGAGAGGGTGACGCCATACTGCGGTACGGGGAGACACAGCGCGATGCGCTCTATGACTCATCGGGACAGTGGTGGGGGTTTGTTGTGACGGCCAGAAGTGGCTTATAACTACTCCCGGGATACCCACATTCACGTGTCCCGGGCGGAGATCGGTGGTCCAGGCGTTCGGGACGCTGACCTGCGAAGATCTCCGCTAGGGAAGAGGTTCGCACACCATTTTACGAAGGAATCAAATATATAATGCGTTACCGATAGAACTAAAGCAATGTGATAGGCTTACAATATTTTACTTAACTTATCTAGTAAAACACTATATGTAATATAAATAGCTGAGAAAGCTAAATAAATCAATTAATCATTTCGTGGTATTAATGGGAACATTTCGTTATCAATTATTCCCATGGACTTATTGCTTTATAATTATGGCCATCTTAATCTTAACATATACGTGTAATATGAAAGAGCGAGGTGTTCATGAAGACCGATTACAGTCACGCATTGGTTTTGAAAAAAAAGAATGGACACGGGAGTTTGGTAGAATTTTTTGGGGCGTAGCTGCGTCAGGAGTAATATCTCTCTCCCTTTAGATGGAACATCGCCCGTTGGTGATGCTTTGAGGCTACCTTCCCGTCCTTTGCGGTTGGTGAGGCTGCTGTTTGTTTTCCGAAATTCCCTGACTGCGTCGGGTGGAGGGTGCACGGAGGGCTAATGGCGGTTACAGTTTAGTCTACATTCGATCTCACGCGCTCCTTGCCCTCTTCGTCTTCAAAAGGCTGCCTATACAGCCTTTGTTCTCAACGGTTAATCACACGCGGCTCCGTGAATGGCGGACAGAGTCCTCTGAATCTTGATGTGTTTTGTGTGATTGTGTGATTTGAGCTCGAGGGTTCTTGATCTCGATGCGTCCCAGTTGATTTAGATTTGCCCTTTTGAGATAGGTAAAATACTTCTGCGACAATTAGTGAGTATTAGTAACGCTCTTTTGATTATTTCTATCTCATTATTACACTCATATATAAAGACTCAAGACCCATGGAGTACATAGGAACGCCGGAAGTATTTGGCTGAACGGTGCGTGTTGATTTCTCAAGGTTTATCAAACTTCCTTTGTTTTTTTAATTATTAGTCTTTTTTCTAGGGACTGGAGGGCCCAGGTTTATCTACATCGGCTTGGTTGCAATTGCAAAGCAATTGACGGGGCCCGCTAAGCGATGTCTAAATAAACCGGTGGTTCAAGATCTAACTGTGTTTGGGGTGACGTTATTTCGTTCTCTTCCTTTACATATTGTTGCTACTTGGGGTGGCAATGCACGTCTTTCGGTGGTGGCTGCAATTTGTGAATTTGCATCGTTTGTGTTTTTAGTGACGGTGCCTTCGATTTCGTGTTGTGGATTTCGTCAAATACTTCGAGTGCAGGGTTGCGCGATGGTTTTCGCGATCTATAATTAAGATCTGCCCAAGTAAACTGACCGCATGGTTCCCAAAAATGTAATCCCTTCTAGTGCAGTGTATCATGATGTTATGTGCACGCGTTTCCCGGTGAGTTTCTATTTCATTTAACTCGTTCGTCAACTAATTAGGGGATATCTCGTTCTTTCGGAATTTGGGTATTGTCACACCGTTCTTTAATTCTTAATTTTTAGCTCCGCTGTGTTATCTTCAACATAATATCCTTATATTCCGGGCACTAGCTCATTAACACCTAGTGACACTCGGGTTTCGTAGAAATATTGTTCTGGATCTCGGATTATTTCAGTCCCTATTAGGTTAATGTAGCTAGTGTTAAGTTCTTCTGGACTTAACCTTTTTTTTTATATAACTAAATGAAGAATAAATTTTAAGTATATTGTAGAACTGAGATAAGAAGATATAAAGAAAGAATCTCGGGAATCCAAAAAAGCGCACTGTGCATTATGTCAGGAAGCTGCCGTCCGGTTTTATAACGCTGTAACCAGTAACCCGTCACGGGCGTGTGAACAAAAAATTTCTGAATTTACTTGCACGGATAAAACCGCGAAATATATCAATTTGTCCGTACTTGTCCATCGACTTTCAGCAAAATATCGGATGGAACAGTGACAGCAATTCAGTCTCTAGATACATACGAGAACGCATAGTTCAGCCTAGAGTAGCCCCTCACAACTGCATCACGCGACGGCTATAATTCTCATGGGAGTTCTGCGGTCGGTTACAAATCGCCGTTTATAAGTCGATAAAGTCTTATCGAGCCCAAAGAGTTGCACGCATAGCGTTATCAGTCAATGTAAGAATAGTTATAAGTTTATTGATTTCCGCCACGAACAATATTGTCGTGTAGTTTAGGTGTTATTATAAAAGATAGATGGACTGGTCGCTATAACAAAGACAGAGTGTGAACATCGGGGCAGTGACGGCATCTACTGTTACGCGTCGATAGCGTAAAGACTCCACCACAGCGCCAATTGTTTTGGAGGTTGTTTGGACCTATAGGAACATGCCCTCAAGTATTCGTAAAAATCCTAGTTGCATTGTAACAAATAATAATTATTAAAAATTAAAAAGTCGATTTTCTTTCGTTTTTTTTTATTATGCACTTTATCTCCATAAAAAAAGTTGTATACAAAAATGACCTAACATTGTTAGTTCAGCAATTAATTGCAATGAAAAAAAAATACTTATTTTGCTTTTTGCATCCGTTATCGGCCATTTATCAACATATCATTTCGAAGTTCATCCATCATCTAGAGAAAACCCTCCCCAAGAGGTACGTGCAAGATTTATTGATCTACGTTATATAGTTAACCAACAATCGCCGATCTACGAAAATCCGGAGTTTTCAAATTCCCATCTCCGATGAAGATTCACAGAGTAGAACAAAAATTCAGGAGCTTCGTTTCATCATGTACATTCTCGATTAAAAAAAAATTTACATTTTCGTTAATAAAAAACAC